GCGAAATCTATCGATCAATTCTTTGTACTGACTTTTGGTATGTAAAAAGCATCCAAGGTAACACTAATTTCAGTCGCACACTAGTTCACTGTTGATCTGGTCGAAGAGAGGATGTGATTGGCCACTTGATTCATATTCTGGGTTTGGATTGGTCGATCGATTGTCTGCCGATTTGGTGCTGTTCATTCACTGTCAATTGAGCACTCCACTCCAATTTCGAATCGACTTTACAATATGTGAGTGAATTCATAATAAACTTCCAAACTTCGCATGGTTTGTCTAATCAATATTGAATCACCCTGGAGTTCTGATTGGTTGAATATACTTGTCCTTTCTGTAAGAGCCAATCCAATCCACTCAAAAACGGATTAGCCAATGCATCGATTCGTATTTCGATTCGGCGGCGAGATTCGATTCGACGAGGTCTGGAAATTTGTACCAAATCCACAATACTATTAATATTATAGGATGTGCTGCCCTAATATTAATACTAACGTAGATGGCCAATTTATGGTGCACTTGAAAGAGACCTCGTCGTAGAATACAGCTTATTCGTCTCTAGGAACGGGATTTCAATTCTGAAAAGTGCTGCATGAAGCCTAAAGGTTGGGCATTCTTCCGAGTATTTAATCGGCTTGAATAGTCTTCAGCTGAGTTTTACTTCGATTACCATTCATGCCAAGCCAAAATAGGAGGGACGGTTTATGGTGCACGGCTTAAGCTTAACGTAAGATATGTATTAATATGTTCGTTTTGCTTATATTTTAGTAATTTCATTTTTCATGTGATTCGATAGGCTATTCGAAAATTCAAGCAATTCCATTGGTCAATTTGAGTGGTTTGTGCTCAATCTTTAAATTTAATAGACAAGAATCAAATAATAAATGGTTTAATAATCTAGTTATTATTAGACATTTTATTTTTTATTTTAATTAATCACAAATCATCCCCGTATATTGCCACATAATAATTAACATTATAGCTACAACTCTAAGACGTGTTGTTGATGCTTTGGGTCAACCTAAGGAGAATTTGGCGTTTTTTATAGTATAACTTTAGAGTTAACAGCTCTACACTCTAACCATCGTGCACCATAAACTGGCCATCTACGTTACACCTTTTTGCGGTTAATTTCGAAAAATATCTGGTAAATTTCGTGGAATCCCATGTAAAAAGATTCGTGGAGATTCATTATATTTCGCGACATCGGCATTTAGTTTTCGTGGGAACGTCGAATTCACTCATTATATTTCGTGGACTACCAGTGTATTGGCTCTTACAGCAAGGACAAGTATATTCAACCAATCAGAACTCCAGGGTGATTCAATATTGATTAGACAAACCATGCGAAGTTTGGAAGTTTATTATGAATTCACTCACATATTGTAAAGTCGATTCGAAATTGGAGTGGAGTGCTCAATTGACAGTGAATGAACAGCACCAAATCGGCAGACAATCGATCGACCAATCCAAACCCAGAATATGAATCAAGTGGCCAATCACATCCTCTCTTCGACCAGATCAACAGTGAACTAGTGTGCGACTGAAATTAGTGTTACCTTGGATGCTTTTTACATACCAAAAGTCAGTACAAAGAATTGATCGATAGATTTCGCGAATCAGCACAAAAGTCCAAATTTTTGGGTAAAAGGACAATAGAGTATTGGCGATTTGATACAAATTTGGGGAGGGGTGCAATCGAATCGCGCCGACCAAACCGATCCACAATCGAACTGATTGGTTGAATTTCATAGAGAAGTTTTGATTAGCTAATAATTTTGAGGTCATCTGAGGTAGCCAATTAAATCGATTTAAATTCCAACGAGAAACCACGCCACAACACGAAATTTCACTCGAAAGCACAATAAGCACTGGTACATACATACCTTTCAAAAGATCATTTTTTTGTGCTGCCAACAAATCCAGTCACCGTTGTATTCAAGAACGGACAACGTGGTGACGATGAAGGCAGTGGTGCAGCAAGCGTCACAGTCAGTGGTGAGCATCAACGCCGTGTTTGCAGTCAGCATTCTCGCCGTCTTCGCCACACTCATCCTCAGTCCTTCGTTGCTTCTGGTCGTGATTGGGACCACTTCCGTGGCTGAAATCAGCCGTTTTCTTTCATCGCACAGCCGTTCCGGCGATACTGTGGCTGTGTTTGCCAAGTTCGTGTGCATCTGGCCCCTGGGCATGGGCTCTGTGGTCGCTTTCGGGCAGCTCTCGCCCGAGACACAAGCGTCGAATCTGGCTTGGTTCTCGATCTATATCAATGCCGCGGTGGTGGGTAACATCGCCATGATGGGGTTTGTGTCCGCCGGGAGCACCCTTCGAGGCGTGACCCATCGCGTGGCATGCATTAGCCTTGTGCTTTGGCTCTTGCGTGAAATGCAAAGCGTACACTGGGCAACTGTGTCGTACCAAGATGGTTACTTCCTCTTCAATGCATCGCCCTTGTCGTGGGTCCTAGCGCACGCCTGCTACAGACTTGTGATGATGACCCTGCCTCCGTTTGACACGCTACGATACCTCGTCCTCGAACCCGCAAGTTTGGGACTCATGGCTGGACTGGCCACCGCAAATGGCGCGTCTGCCAGCCTCTGGTTTGGTCAAGCAGACACCCTCGTTGCCTCGACTGTGTGCTGGACAAGTGCAGCACTGGGTTGGGTCCTCCCGACGCCGAAATACCTGACGATGCGATTGCCAGAATCCCAAGCATTGGATGTTGGGTGTGCCCTCGTGCATGTTGTCATAGTAGTCGTCGCGACCTTTCACTTGTTCTTCATGAATCCTGAGTCCACAATATCCACGCTGGTACCGTATCGAGAATAATATGGACGCAATATTGAGATTATTTCGAATTCTCCGGAGACCATTAAGAGTACGTAGTAGTTTTAACACAAACGTTAGGACTATACTACACCAACTTGCGATTAATTTCAGCATTTTTTCACTATATACTGTATGTATTTCCACCAACCTCCCGTATATTTCACCGAATCGCCAATATATTTCGCCCAAACTGCATATATATCTGGTCGTACCGGTACTGTAGACTTGATTCAATATGCAGTAACACCGTTAATGATCCGTCAAGATACTAGTAGGGTAGAAAAATGCATAACGTCATCGTTACCGGTAGTTTCCCCCACCCTAGCCATCCCAGATCTGGCACGAGACGAGGCAGGCATCATCTCAAACCCAAGTAGTACTAAGCTTACTACAGTACTACCTGGGTACTCCGGAGTAGTACCACCCAAGCTATCCAACCAATAGGCCACATTCGTGCTTACTCCAGGTAGTATGCACCACCACGAAGGCATTAAGGCACCATTAAACAGAGTGTGTGGGGATGGCTCTTGCGTTCACGATACAGCCTGTACACCCTCGATCTTCCAACTTAAGAATCCTATCAGCAGCCTCCACATGCGACAATTGCCATCTGTAGCGTGATCATTCATGAATCTAATATGCCACATCACATGCAACCGTTTCCAGCCAATGGCCTTTGCTTGTCATAATAATTCGACCCAATCCAACCCGTCGGGCGGGATGCGTGGTTCATCTGCAAGAAAAACATGGTATTCGTGCCGCAACGAATTCCCACAGAGCTTGGAAAGCATTAGACGCCACATCGTTTTCAGCTCCATCGGCCCACGTGATGTTCATTTGATCAAATTCCGGCAACACGACACCAGGCCTCAACACATGCTTACTACCCACTTGCGAAGTTTGGCCATTGGCACTGACATGGTTGGAGTGCGGGCGTTGATCATCGCTTTGGTCGCGATTGTGATCTTGCTCATGGTGTACGGCGCATGGCAAACGAAGCGTGCCAACGACCTCCGGCGTCAACGAAGAGAATCCACCGCGGACACAGTGGTCATCTTGGAGATCGAAACCCCCAAGTCGCCAGCCTAATCTGAACCCGGTCTAATTTAACTATCTATTCAACGCGTTCAATCGTTTGTGTGACCATGGTTGGCATTGTGGTGTATTCATCTACATGTATACATGTATAATGCGATACTGTACTTCATGTCCAATTACGAAGTACACAGGTTTATTCAGGAGGCACAAGTTTTGGCAAAAAATGGAGGTGATATTTTTTGCAATCCGGATATCTGAAATTCATGTTAGGCTTTATACGGATATTGTTCGGATAAATGAGAAACTTATGCTGATTCCAGCGATAAGTTGCATTTTCCCCACCCGCCACACTTATACGTATGCGCGGGACGAACAGGGACTGTGAAAGTGATAATAGACCTCTTGTTCACTTACAAATTTCTTGATCAGTGATTGCCAATAATACTGTACATCAATATTTACATAGAATAATTAAAATGAGTGCATTTACAAACATCAACTAAGACCCGTCGCATTCCATTATAGCCCGAACTCGTTAACATTTATAGCGTAGCGGGTGCGCTGGAAGTATATGATGACGCGAAAGTCGTGTGCTTTCGCATTACGTACTGCTACGTGGAGCTTCATTACAGTATAGAACTGCCAACATCGTCGTGATGCCACTGCCATAAGAGAGAAAACAGGTCACCAGTGTTGAGGGAAAGTGCAACCACGCGCCGGGCGCGGCAGACACGAAAAGCAGCCACCGCGTGGACAGGCCGAACCCCGCCAGCGCCAACAAGAATTTGATCGAGTACCTGTGTTGGAGCGTGGTCATCGTGTCCGACTCGGTTGGTCCGGGCTCGGTCACGCACAAGATGCCGATGAAGGACACGACAATGTCGAAAGCGTGCACGACCACGGGGAAGAACACAAACGACACGGGGGACTCGATCGCGCCTTCCTTGGCGAGGGAAATGGCGCCGATGATCTCAGCCGCGACGCTCTCAAACAAAACGTCGGCGCTGCTCCCGACGCAGTCGACGGCCATGTCCCCAACCATGTCAGCAATCACCGACGGGTTGCGCTGGTCGTCTTCGGGGATGCCCTAACGAACTTACCGACGATATCGGCGGCGACTTCGCGGCCTTGGTGTAGATGCCCCGCCCAATTGCATGAACAGCGCCACGACCGACGAGCCAAACCCGACCATGAGCTGGGGGATTTCCGTGGCACTCATGACGGGCATGAATGCGGCATGCAGTAGCACGTGTAGAATGCTCACGCCCGCCACGAACAACGTGCTGTCGAGGACGGCGGAAAACGCGCCGCCTCAGAAGCAGATGAGCAGCCTCGCTGTACGAATGACGCGCGGCGCTCCTCCAGCAAGGTCTGCCTTTGTTGGCCATCAGTATATATTGAATGGGAATTATTATAAAGATTGCATGCTGTACTGTATTTGACTATGTTGAGCCTGCTGCGACATGTCTTAAGTATGCATGCACCCGAACCTGCAAACTGAACTCGACAGCTCGGTTCACCACAAGCCCAAACAGGCGTACCAAGAAGCATATGAGGACCTGGGGGAGATCTACGTTAAGCTGTGCGTGTCGACGGTGGCGTAGCTGGACGACTTGACCGTGCGGGAAACGGTGATGCGGGAGACACTTCCTCGGCAAATCCGTAAGGCCGACCATCAAGCCTACTTTGTAAGTAAATTACTCAATGAATTTAGCTTATAGTGACCTCTATGATACATCATTATGTAGAGATAATTATTGTGAACACGTAGATTTAGTCTCGGGCTGGTCAGTTTACATTGGCTCATGTTGTGTGGCTTTAAAAGTGGTTGTCTCAAATATAACATCCAAGTTAACCAACTTTGTTAACCATATTTGCTTCCAAATATAACATCACATAACATCGTTTTGATGTGTAGATTTTAAAAATTCTATTCACGCCATGATAAAAACAATAAAACGGTTTCTTGTTTCGAAGAAAAGTGCGCTTCCATGGAGCAAGATTGTCGACCAAATCACCAACCAAGATGCGACGACGAAGGTTTCTGTCAACCAGGTGAAGTAAGAACTCATCCGATCGTGTAACATTGCGATTATAGGCATCAGCTCCATCGAGTTTCAACGCTCTTTGCAAATCTAGCCTGTTCGTCCGAGGCATCATCCGCGCCGTAGTTGCTTCGCAGTACAGCAACGACCAACTTACCAGGCCGAGTGAGCGTGCGGCCACGTTGAAGCTTCGTGACAGCATTTTCAAAATTTGGGTTGACAACAATATTCTAAGTCTACTTCAAATATTTCATTTATACAACTCATGATATTTTGTACCAATGGAATACTCAAAGCTGGGGAAGTCAACGACTAGAGCATCGAAGAGAGTGCGAACCTCCCACATTGTACGTAGCGATGATTAATAACATCAAACCGGGCCTTACAAACGAACAGATGTGCTAATGACTGGCTGCTAAGCAATGTGGTCGGTCTCTTTCGATCGGTGGATCGAGGCTCCATCTTGCATAAAGACGAATTCGTTCCCGTACAAGAAGTGGGCAAAAGGGAACAGGTAGTCCTCGAGGATCCAAATCTACTTGGCAGAGTTCTGGTTGCCTTCCAGAAACGCAATCTCGCTCGCCCCATCAGCAGTAAATGCCGCCCAAACCATGACACTTCGTCCCCCAAACTTGCGAGAGAAGAAGGTCGAAACGGAGGTCACGCCAGTAGCATTGCATAAGGTCAGGGCCGTCCAAGTTGAATTTCTTCTCATCAGACCAAATGATCTTGGCCCAGTCGGGGGGGGACTCCAGGTGCTTTTTCGCATATTTGAGGCGCGCTGCAATGGTCGGGCCATTCTGCGTGCGTGAGGGTCGTGAAGAAGAGAAATACTATCGATGCCTGAGTTCCTGGGTCGATTGGTATAGTACTTTGCACTTTAGAGGGCGATGAGTGGAATGTCTTATTTTTTCTTCCCACACCGAAAAGGCTACCCAGTGGCTATACCAGTGTAAAGGATAAGACAGCTCCTATCGGGAGTTCCACCTAGTAGAGCTAGTTGTTGGCAATCGATGGATCTATTTTTAGTGGCAATACGTTCGGCAATACATAGGAAATGTCCAAATTACCGAATGTCTTAACATTTATTCCCGCACTGTATGTGAAAAATTATTTTTTATGTGAAAAATTATTTTTTATGCATTATCAAATCGACTCAAAATACATAATGCATATTTTTTTCAATTCTCGGAAATACATTATCATAAAACCCCTAACTATTTATGTTTTACTAGTATGCGTTATTTTACTGCGACGGGAGCTTCTTCAAGTACTCGTGGTACGCGCGGAAACTGGTCTTGAGCCCCCCGTTGTCCGCAATGGTTTCACCCAAAGAGATCTAGCCGCTGATGTTGCCCAACACAGCGCCAGTCACTTAGCTCTTGACGACAAAGTTGGCATAGTGGTCGCTAATGCACTGGGATTTCGTATTGACTGTGAACGCAGTTTTGGTGGCGTTCGACCACCATGGCACGGGTTCAAGTTTCCGTCGCCATCCAACTTGCGGCCGTAGTTGTCGAACCCGTGGGTGATTTCGTGTCCGATGACCATCCCGATGGCAAAGTTCTTGGAGGCGTCAAACAGGCCGTCAAAAAGCGGGTTTTGCAAAATAACGGCCCGAAACACGATTTGGTTCATGGTGTACCTGTACTCCGCGGTAATCTTATGGAGAGGCACGTCGAACTTTGGCGTGTCCACAGGTTGGCCGTTCAGCTTCAAGTTGGTGTCTGTAGCGACGTCACTTCAGTGGCATCATAGGGTTATCGATTAATGAGAACAGACGTCACTGTTGAGGTAAGTTTACGACCAAGCTCGATTGACGTGCGGCGTGCTCGGCCATGGACACTAGAAGTTCGTTCTGCAGAGCGCACGTATATATAGCATTAGATATAGTATTGTCAGAGAAGTCATGCATGTAGATAACACCAATCAATCAGTTTACAATTCCCTCTGCGTTATCAACTCCCTACAGTTGCTAGCACTCATGGTTGACAACAAGGACTTACTCCGAGGGGCATAGCTCGTAGGTGGTAAGGTTACTCTATCTAGCTCACGCGAAGGTTCAGTTGCGACCTTTCACGGCGGCTAGTGTTGAGTTAGTGATCGTTCAGGTGCTCTTTTATTACGACGGCACTCTCCTTAGTATACGGCATCAGGGTCGGTAGAGGTTGAGTCGACAGCTAATAAAGACATTTGTTGGTTGTGAAGTTTATTGTGACCGGACCCCCATTTTATGGGCAAGAACAAGGCGACGGCGGAAAAGAAGCTCAAGAAGGCGGCGAAAGAAGCGGTTGTGAGTGGGCGCGAAATCAAGCGCGAGCGAAACGATCTTAAGCGAAAGGCTAATCAAGTACCTGACCGTCTAGTTTCGTTTAAGACTATCCATTATCTCGACGAGCCTGACGTTGAGAATTTGGACGCGATAAGAAAGAGCCTCATCGAGAAGCTCCAAGCAACCCAGCGAGTCAACGAGCGTTTCAAGCGGGATCTGGTCCGACTTAACGGGACAGTCGGAAGTATCCGGATTAAGTGCGTTTTGGACAAAATCGTTGAAGTCCAGACAAATTTGGCAGTTGCGTCGAGTTTTTTGGCAGAAGAAATCAACTGCGCATTTTTGCCAAAACCGGTTCCGGTTGTTGAGAAGAAACCGAAGCTCAGCGAACAGAAGAATTGGGCGAATGTTTTGCTAATCCTTAATCAAGTGCTTCTTTTTCTAAAATATGGAGGAAGCGTTTGTGCGTATGATGGGTGCGATGGAGCAGCAGCAGAAGATGATCAATCAGCTGCTTGAAGCTCAAGCACAGACGCACACGGAGATGATGAGGGACCAGCACGCGCATCAAGAGCAGCAGTTGATTTTACATCAACAGTTGCAGGATGCAATGAACCAACTAGCGAGCCAACAACCGGTCGAACAGCAACGGGACACGGAACGACGAGTAGAAGGACTGTCTATGCCTGCATACCATGGGCACCTTAATGAAAGCATTGGGCTGTACATTCACCGTGTGAAGACCTTTTTCATGGCAAAGAACTTGAACTACGAGCAAAACGAAGTGGTCGAAGCGCGCTGTCTTGCGATGGTTGTGGCGAACCTCCAAGGACAGGCTGCGGCTTGGTACCAGGAATTGGCTTCACGGCGAGTCAATGGTGGCTTCAGGACTCTTGTCGACTTCGAACAAGCACTGCGTGAGGAATTCGAGCCTGATGATCTCCAAGAGCGCTTGCGGGATCGCTTGTTCACACTTCAGCAGCGCTCGTGCAGGGACTTATTCGAGTACGTGGAGAAGTTCCGCAGAGTGTGCACAGACGTTCAAGAGATGTCAGTTGGACAAAGTGACGTTTTTTAGCCGTGGTTTAAAGCTCAAAACCCGGGAGGAAGTGAAGTACCGGCAGTGCAAGACGTTGACGAGTGCGATCAAGGTAGCTCTGGAGTACGAGCGGGCACATGTGGTGTCGTTGTCGCAGCGTCATGACGAGAAAGGATCCACATCCTGCTCCTCCAGAGTCGAACGAGTCGGCGGACATGGAGGTCGACAACATCAACGTTCGCAAAGCCCGGAAGAAGGACCGCAGCAAGTTGCGCTGCTTCAATTGCCAAGGTTTTGGGCACTTTGCGGCTGCGTGCCAAAAGCCGAAGAAGAAGATCTCGGGTGATGGACCTCCAGGCAAGCAAAACAACCTAGAAGTCGAAGAAGCACCAAGCGACCAAGATGTGGAGTACATCACGTTTGGCGCCATGGAAGAAAACGGTGCTGAAGGCGTTGCGGTGTCGAAAGCGCAAGTCGGGCGAAGTCCGGAGAGCGGCAGAGCGCCATTGATGAAAAAGTTTGGCGTAATAAATGGAAAAGTCGTGAACATTCTTATTGACTCGGGAGCAACGAATTCGCTTTGTCGAGTCGGGTTGGGCAAAAATGTCATTCGCTCCAAGGCTGTTCGCATCTCGGGCTACGATGGACTGATGTCACCACTGACAGAGACGCGCGAATTGAAGGAAACGGTGCAGATTGGCACGTTCACGTTTCATGACACGCAGCTCACGGAATGGGACTTGAAGGATAAAGCGTTTGACGTCATCCTGGGCCAAACATGGTTCAAGAAGAACAATCCAGTCATCGATTGGCGCAAGCACAACATCGTGTCGGTTGACGAGGTCGTGGATGTCAATGCGTCGGCTGCTGAACCACCAGGATGGATCATGAAGCTTTGCCATGTCCAAGCGCAACCTGAGTACCCAGCTGAGATCAAAGCTGTACTCGACGAGTTCAAAGACGTCTTTCCGAAGGAGCTCCCGGATGGGTTGCCACCGGAACGTGGGGTGCAGTTTGATTTGAAGTTGAAGCCGGACGCAAAGCCTCAGAATCGCGCACCATTTCGACTCGCAAAGGTCGAACAGGAGTCACTGGACAAGTTCGTAGATAAGCTGAAGGCTAAAGGATGGGTTGAGTTGTCCACGAGTGATTGGGTTTCCAACATCTTTGGTGTCCCCAAAAAGGATGAGAACGGGAAGATGCCGTCACGTCAAATGTGGTTGAAGACGGCAACGGCAAACACGCCAATCCGTTGGGTTCTTGACTACAGGCATGTCAACTCCCAGTCGGAAATCCCCAAGATCCCATTACCCAACATCGAGGACCTGTTCAACAAGATGTTTGGATGCGTGGTCCTTACAAAGATCGACCTTGCGTCCGGGTACCATCAAATGCTTGTGATTCCACATGCACGCAAGTACATGGCATTTCGCACGCACAAGGAGATATTGCAGTGGTGCGTTGCCCTGATGGGAATGGCTGGGATGTCAGGAATTTGGTCACGCCTCATGCGTTCACTTTTCGACAAGTTCCCATTTGTCGTTGTGTACTTGGGTGACATTTGCATTTACTCCAAGTCTATGGAGGAACACACCCAACATTTGCGCATTGTCTTAGAAGTCCTGCGCAAGGAAAAACTGTATGCGCGGCTTGAGAAGTGTGCGTTTGCTGTGGACAAGGTTGACTTTCTGGGCCACACCATCTCTGCTGATGGCCTGCAAGTTGACGCAAGCAAAGTGCGCGCGATTGAGAAGTGGGCTACTCCCACGAATCGCAAGGAGCTGATGAGTTTCCTGGGTATGGCAGGGTATTACCGCAAGTTCATCGCCAACTACGCCAAGTTGGTGTTGCCGATCAGTGAGTGAGTGAGCTTGCGAAGGACAATGTCCCATGGCAGTGGACAGCGCAGCATGACAAAGCGTTTCTCGTCATCAAGGCGGCGTTGCAACAGGCTCCAGTGTTGCAACTGCCTGACTTTGACAAGCCGTTCATGATCACCACGGATGCCTCGGGCTACTGTTGTGGTGCAGTGCTCTCACAGCGGGATGCCGAAGGCGATGATCGCCCAATCGCTTTCCTCTCGAAGAAGTTTGGCGACGCAGAACGCAACTGGCCTGCTCATGAAAAGGAGCTGTATGCCATCAAGCTGGCACTGACCAAGTGGAGACCCTACGTCTATGGATCTCACTTCGACGTGTTCACCGACAATTCGACTTGTCACTGGTTTCTGAAGACTCCAATCTTAACGCCAAAGTTAACACGTTGGTTGGATTTTTTCAGTAGTTTTGACTTCACGTTGCACCATCGTCCAGGCAAGACGAACGTGGTTGCAGATGCATTGTCGCGCCCTCCACGCGCTGACATTCACATCAACACTGGCACAGTGCATCACAGCGATTCTTCATGTTACGACCGCTATCATCGTGTTCATGAGTGGACGATACGCGTCGCGGCCTTCAAGTGCATGGATGTCTGCACATTGCAGTTGTTGACGGACTTGCCTTCCCCGGGGGAGGAGTGCGTTGGTAGTGTCGAGGTCGAAGTTCCTCAACAACTCGTCATCCATCACGCGGAAGAAATATCGTACAGCATGGTGAAGATGGACTCGAACCTGAAAGAACGGTTCCTGAAGGCGTACGAGAAGACGAAGGAGTTTGCCAACGACAATAAGTTCGTAATGAATGATGGACTCTATTTCGTTAAGTCGAAAGACCAAGTTTGGAAGTTGTGTGTGCCGAACGACGACTACTTGAAAGGCGAGATCATTTCGCAGAGTCATGACACCAGCATAACGGCGCATCCAGGTGTGCGTCGAACGCAACTTCACATTGCACAATGGTACTATTGGGTGGGACTTGAGGACGACGTCAAGCTCTACGTCGCTACTTGCGAAACCTGTGCACGCTACAAGACAAGCAATGCCAAAGCCAACGGCAAGATGATTCCCATTAAGTCGCCAGATGAGTGTTGGCACACGGTTTCCATCGACTGGATCACGGGCTTGCCTGTATCCAATGGCAAGGATGCGATCATGACGTGCGTGGACAAGACGTCCAAACGACCCAAGTACTGTGCTACGACGTCGACTGTCGATGCTCCTCAAGTGGCCAAGGAGTTCTTCGACACAATAGTGCGGCACCATGGCCTACCGGCGGTCATTATCAGTGATCGTGACTCCAAGTTCACCAGCCAGTTTTGGCAGGAGCTCATGAAAATCATGGGAGTCAAGCACTTCATGACGACTGCAGGAAGAGCGCAGAGTGATGGAGCCACAGAGCGCCAAAATCGGACACTCGAAGATGCCTTGCGCTGCCAAGTCAGTTACCTCGGACATGACTGGTCAGAGCACCTCGGCACCATTGAGTATGCGCACCAAGGATTGATTCAAGCGTCGACAGGACTCATTCCATTCGAAGTGGACACGGGCAGAAAGTTGCGTAACCCCATTCTTAATCAAGTTGAAACTTTGAATGAGTACGCGAAGAACTTTTCCGAGCAACGTAAAGCATTAGTCAAGATGGCACTTGAAAACCTTGACAAAGCACAGGCTCGTCAAAAGAGCTACTACGACAAAAAGCAAAATTGGAGTTTCGCAAAGGGGAGTTTGTAATGCTAGCGACACGAAACGTCCCCATCAAGCATGCGAAGTTGGTGAACAAGGATGAGAAACCAAAGATAGTACCGAAGTTCATTGGTCCCTTTAAGATCATACAAGTAATCAACCCGAATGCTATCAAGTTGGAGTTGCCAATGAGCATGAAGAGTCTTCACAACGTCTTCAATGTCGATCGACTGAAAGAGTGTCCCGGCCAAACGGATCGGTTTACCAACCGACCCATACCCAAAGCGACTCCAATGCTTTTGGACGACAGTGGCCACGAAGTCTTCATCGTCGAAGAGCTGCTGAAGCAACGGCAGTTCAACCGCAAGAAAGAGTACCTCGTCAAGTGGCATGGCTTGCCCGATTACGAAGCGACCTGGGAACTTGAGCGGGACATCAAACATGTTTCCCATTTCAAGCGCCTGGTTCAAGATCTGCGAGCGAAGATACAAGCGGCGAAGTCGATAACCAGGGGAGAATGTAACGACGTCACTCCAGTGGCGTCATAGGGTTATCGACCAATCAGAACAGACGTCACTGTTGACGTCAGTTTACGACCAAGCTCGATTGGCGTGCGGCGTGC